TAACTGCACTGCCCACAGCAAACTTAAGTAAACCAGATTCATAAGTTAATATTTGTAGAATGAAATACATTTATAAACTTACCGCAGATGCAAAACTGGGTATTTGTTTCTTCCTGTCGGATGCAAAACTCGGTATTTGCTGTAGACCAATCACGTCGCTAGTATACGCATTAAGTGACGACATAACAATGACCTGATTAATTGTTATTTTTTGGTATTTGCACTTTTCACTTGCAAAACTTGGTCTTTGAACGAGGAAGATGCAAAACTATGTTTTTAAATCTTTTGATTTCAATTATTTACTAAACTACCTAATTTTAAAGGATTTTTATTTACTTTTTTGAATAAGATATTATGCAAAAGCACGTCTATACAATTTTTGCATTTTTTTTTCAAAAATGACCTTATGAGAGGTTTTTCGTGTTTTTCTTAAAATCACTTATCCTGCAAATACAGAGTTGTGCATCTAATGTATATATTATATCAATAAAATAATGAATTATAAACTTTAAAAGATCGATGGGTTGGTGTAAACGATAATAAAATTAAGGTAAGTTTGAATAAATAAGGTTTACTAAAGTCTTTTTATATTTTAAAGCACATTTTAATTATAAATGTCAATCTGACAATGTTTTAAATCCTAAAATTCATTGTATTTTCTCAATAAATATAACTCGTGGTAAATATAACTCGTGGCGATTATAATCGAAGATATTTACTCATTGAAACCGAAGCAGCACATTTCACTCGTCCTGCGGACTCGTGAAATCTGCAGCTCGGTTTCAATTCGAAAATATCATCGATGATAATCATACCACTTGTTATATTATGGGTGATAATAATTATATAAAAATAGGTATTGCCAAATAAAGTTATAATTATTTATATTTATAACTCTAATCATTATTCTAATCCGCGCTGCCAATGTGTGGGGAATTCCCCAAAATGCGGGGAATTTAGAATTGTTGCGGGGAATGTGTGGGGAATTTCGGGGAATTTATAGTTTTCACTAAATTTTGCTTCAAATGTTACAGATTCTGTTTTTCCAATTCTGAACTTTTATGTCATTTAATGAGCGAAGCTGCACCACTGTAAAAAGTTTAAAACCACATATGTCGCTACATTTGTTGTGGAATGTTTTAATGAATTTTTAACATCGCGCCCATGTTAAAGTTCTCAAAAGCGTAATTGCCAAAATTATCAATTATCTTTGGAATGTGTCTCGGAATGTGTAATATGTGTGTGATATGCAAAGATTTAAACATTACAGCTGATAAATGAAATGGGTTTTATTCATAGATCTATGGTTTTATTTGTGTGTACTTTGAATATTAAAATTTCCAAGGTTCTGTTCTAAATTACTACATGATGGATTTCAGTTTCAGTTATTTGTTTTTTAGCATATAATATGTTTTTCAGTGTGTGTGGGGAATTTTAGGAAGCTGTGGGGAATTTTACCACAAGATGTGGGGAAAAACCGTTTTTTTAGTTGGCAGCGCTGATTCTAATACTCGATTCCTATCATCTTCTTTAGTTGCCCAAGTGTGCTTATAAAGGTCAAGCACACACTTTTTTTTTAATCTCCGTATTCTTCTAATATGGGTCCGGTTCCTTTTCCCCAAACTAAAATTAACACTTGGAAAAAGGCGTTTTGAATAAATTAAATTTAAAAATCAGAAATCTCCGAGCACTTTTGAGTACGTGTACATGAAAAGCTGCTGTAAACACTGATTGTTATATTGCGGTGAAACTTGGCTTAATAATTAGTTATGTAGTGTTGTAAACTTAAAGAAAAAAAATGTTATCAATACCTTTTATGTGGGCCTTTTACACTAGAGAAACTTCGGAAAGAAAGGTTATTAAAAATAATTTAAAAAGGATTTTAAATTTTTATGCCGATTTCTGTGAGAAAATTTTTTTGTGATGTAACAAAACGCGTTTTTAACTGCGTTGGCAAGTGAACTGGGACACAGTTAATTTTTATAGAACATTTCATGCCAAAAACATGTATGTGATTGCAATCCTATGAAATTTTTTAATTGGAAAAACTATTTGAAAAAACTAAAAACAAAATACCCCATAACTTTGTTGTTCCAGGAAAGTTTGAAACATTAATCTACATTTTTATCCAATTTCTTCGCTACTATGCTTTGAGTTACCAACACCATCTTTTGTTTGTTTGGTTTTTTTATATCCAATGAACAACAAAAGATGGTGGTAATATCTCAAAATTTAGTATTCGAAACAATTTAGATGAATATGTAGATGAATGTGTATGTTTACAAGCAAAACTTGCTTTTTTTCTAAATTCCCAGGAATAACAAAGTAATAACGATTTTTGGTTTTGATAAGTTTTTAGTTGTTTTCAAATTATTTAGAAACCGCTGATTTTTAAATGCTATTTTAATAGAATTGTAATAACGCAACTTTTGTCTAATTTAACCGACCTTGTATACAAGAGCTATAGCTCTTTAAGTAAAAAAAAAATTAAGTAAATTTATTTTATGGCTGTAAGTACAAAGCATCAATAGAACAAACAATATTTTTATTTTGATACCCTTTGTGCTTTTAAAAAGATTTTTTTAAAGTTAATATTTTTTAAAACAATAAAGTTATACAAAAATAATTTAAAAAAAATTGAAACGGCCCTTGTTGTTAATAAAAAAATTGCTTACAATGATGTAAAGATTTTGTGCCAATTTAGGTGTAGTCTAATGATAATTAAAATATTTTCAAAATCTAATGTAATCACTTGTCCTTATTTTATGGAATAACCCTATAATGAAATTGTACTCGTACACCACTCTACCATAAGATTTCAAACATTGTTCAATTTGTTAAGCAGAGTAAAAATGGGGCTTAATTAAAAGCAAAAAGCAAAAACTGTAACTGTGTCAGTGGCATGCACAGATAAAATTAGTGTCCAACAGTATCATAAAAGCAAATTAGAAAGATACGTTGAACAAAATCGGCTTAAACGTTGGCACATACACATTTAAACCCTTCTAATGGGGATTTAGATACGGAAAACGGTTTTCACGTTAAACTGTAGTTTCAAATGTAATTCACAAGATATTTTTTTTTTATCTATAGGTAGTTAATCAACTGTGATTAATGCACTGCGGCGTGGTTCGTGAAGTTTGTAACTTTTCTTTCCATAGAAAATGATCTTTACCATAAACCAATCAGATCACGGCATTCTTCACAGCACACTGGGTACAATGGATAAAGTAGTGCTCTGCATAAATTATTTTTTAGGAAAGTAAATTCTCAAAAAAATAAAAATATTAAATTAAGCTTCAGAAAATGTCAGAAGAATATTTTAAGTCCTGTTTTCAAAAGGGCGGTGTAAAACATAGTTTAGTTGTGGACTTTTAAACCGTCTAACCATAGTTAAAAAAACGTGGCAGCTGCATAGATGTAATTAAATTCTTCTCTTCTTTTCTCCTTTGAGATTTGTTGTGTCGGTTTTGTTTATGTTTAGCAAACACAGCAAGAACATTACAGCGTGTAATTTATTAATTCAAGGGCCAGCTCTCCAACAAGCAGACAGTTATTAATATTTATTGTGGCTAGTATTAAAAGCCATGTTTAGCCGACCCAAAATATTAATTTGCATAATGAGCTACCTCCAAAATTTATTGTATATTTTACTCAAGTTTGTTACCTTTAAACCTATTGGGAACAATCGATATGTACATTAATTAAATAAATGAATTCATTATTGATTTATTGCCTTTAAGAGTAATTTAATTAATTCACCCTATAATCATCGTTAGAAATAAAATTACCCCAATTAAAAAAATGTTTCCTTCATAAAATACGAGCTTTGAATTATTAAAATTATAAATTTAATTGGGTGCACTCCTGAAATCTCCGAACCAGTCATGTAATTCCGTAATTTCGCGAGTTGTTCTTGTGAATAATGACTTTTAATTAACTCGGGCTTATTATTTTAATTTAAAACCACTGCGTTGACAAATAATAGCTTTTTCTATGCAAAACTAATACTAAATAACATTTATTCAAGCCCCAAGCTTAGAGATGTAAAAAAAACGTTTTTTTTTCAGATATGAAAAAAAAACATGAACAAAAACCTTTTTGTTTTTTTTTAAACCCGCTGCAATAAAGCATATTCTGTCAATAAATAACATCAATCTTAAAAAATGGAGTAATTTTTCAAAATGAAATTTTGAGTAAAATGTATATAATGTATAATAAAGTGAAAAGTAGAATATATTATATTTTTCATTATTGAAAATTTTGACCGAGAATAAAAAATCTGATTTCTTATTATTTGGTAGTTTTCACGTAAGAAACCAATAGCAATGTCTAATAGAAAAAATTAAAGGATACCAAATTTTTTGCGATTTTTCGGATAGCTGTATCTTCGTTAAAAATGGTCGTATTGGAGCCGTAAAAAAAGCAATTTGAAGCTTCTAGTTTTGAGATTTTTAGATTAAAAACGTGCAACGCTCAATCCTAACGAATAGCGTAATAAAAAAAATTCGAAATTTTTTTGGCTTTCTATTTTGGTCCACGGAATTTTCTGACTTAACCACGAATGAATAAATTTTCTACAAGAATTTGCTATTGTTTTTCTCTAAAGTGCTTTTTTAGGACCAAATCAAAACAAGCGCGGCCCTTATTGGTCAATTCGGTGGTGGTGGCGCGTGCAAAACGTGAGGCTGTATTTACATTTACTGAATGTCATTTAGTGGTTAATTTTAGTCCACGAACTGGACTGGAAACATAAAAAATTAGACAAATAAGACTAATCTTGAAAAAAAAAGTGAAATATAAAAAAAACCTGAAAAAAAAACAAAAAAACGGACTGTTTTTTTTCGAGTCGCATCTCTACCCAAGCTATAAATGTCACCGCTGTTATTTGCTTAAAATTCTATATCAGCAGGATAAAAATTATGATCCGTTGACCATTTGCCATTCAGAGCTAATAAATCATTGGTTCTTTGCCGTATCAAGGCAGGATTAACACTTACCTTCGTCATCGGCCCTGAACTCCTGCTCCAACTCCTCCCTGGTAGGCTCGGCCTCCTGCTGTTGTTCCTGCTGCGCCGGTTGTTTCATGCTTTTTCGCGTCCTGTGGCCTCTGAAAGCTGCCTGGATTTTGGTCGCGGCCTCTTCTACCTCCTGTTCGGGTTCCTGGTCAGCAGGAGGAGCTGGTTCCTGCTTGTCGACGACGGGTTCTGCGGGCGGTGTAGTTTCCTGCAAAACTTTCGCTGAGCCGTTCGTGCAAAGCGTTATCGTTTTAGCTGAGCAGGATTTTGTATCAGAATCTGGAAATAATAAATTGTATTATTAAGTGTAAAACAATTTACTTTAATGCTCTAGTGCGAAAAATACCACTTTTTTGCACGCTAGTGTAATACAATTGCATTAAACAATTTATCAAAGGGGGAACAACAACTTCTAAATATAAATTTCCCAGCACGCTGTATAAAATAAAACCGTAGTAATTTCGGAAACAATTTAACGCTACACACTTTAACGATACCTATTTACTTAACGCTTGAAACGTGTCCAATCTGCTTTAGATACCTATCGCCGTCAGGCACACCTTTATAATTCATCTCGACGATTTCTGGCCAGATAAAATTCAATTTTCTGCTGAACGCGGTAATAAAGTAAAGAGTCACTTTCTTATTTATTGGACCGAAAACGAAGGGCTTTTTGACATAATCATGAGTATATTTTTACCGGTTATTGCCTATTTTACCTCAAACTAGCGATGCTGCATCTTTTCGCTGTCGTTGCCATATGAGCAGTGCCAATCGGCCCGCATACAGGCGGTCCACTTCAAAGGAAAGTTTTCTGTTGTTTTTTATCTTTTGCTGTACGGCCATTTCAAGCGCTCGAAACGCACGAATTACAAAACTGTTTTTATAAAAAAAATTGTAGAACACATATTTATTATATATTATTTTATAATCATAAGAAATTATTGAATTAAATTGTTATTTAATTGAAGCCACAATGAGTCTTAATGAAAAACTATCATTGGCATAAATAAAGTAATGGTTTCTAATGAATGGCTACATTAAATGCAATCAAAGCTATATTTCTTTTAAATACAGGGTGTTATGTAATTAATGTTATATATTAAAATGGGTTGTTCCTTAGGGTCTATAAAGAAGCACCTGAAACTTTTTTTTTCTAAATTCCAAAGTCTAAAAATAATTTATAATAACCTTTATCTTACCAAAAAGTACGCCACTGATCGACTAGGAACTTTAGGCTAATCTGGTGGATTTATTATGTTATGGTTGGTAACAACAGTGTTTCGAAAATCTCTCAAAAAAGTTGACAAACATTGTTTAAATTTAGCTTAATTACAAAAATGACAAAATTAACAATGCAAATTGTCAATTTGGCTTTTTTATTAATTGTTGGTTATGTCATTTTTGTACTGAAGGTAAATTCAAACAAAATCTGCCAACTTTTATGACAATCTAGTGCATTTCTTTCAAATTTTAGGTTATGTTTTCAAATTGTAAATATCTTAACTAAGGGAAGTGCTTTTAAATTTATTTACACAAATTAAATGTTTAAAGTTTAACCTGTGAACTGGTCCCAATTTCATCTGAGTAAACAGAAAGAAAAAAACTGATGAAAAAATTAATTTTGTGGTTATGGATTTTTAAAAATAGGTTACTAAATCATTGCTAAAGCTAATAGCTGGATGAGTAAATAAATACAGAAGGGTATTAGAGATTTAAGGGCATAAAACTTTTGTATTTATTGAGTTTTTATTTATTTTTTGCAAAAAAATCGTTTAGTAGCAATTTTTTACATCTGGCAACGTGTAGCTACTTTGTTGGTTGGTATCTATGTACTCACAGAATACAAGTGTGCAGAGGTAAACCAAGTGTGTAACCAGTGGCGTATCACAAAAAATATAAAAAACTTCTAATGCATATTTTTTCTTTGGAAAAATATTTTTTTAAATATTTTTCCTTTATTCCTTATGTCAAAAGGTATTTAGTATTTTAATATATAACATTAATTACATAACACCCTGTATGTATATTCTTATGCAAGCTTGTAGAGCTGAATCCTAAAGATTGCTGAAAGTCCTAAAGCAATATATACTTTCAGGACGCCCTGCAAGGATATCATGATGGTACTTACAGACTATGAGTAGTTTTTTATAAATACGCAGTAAAAAAATTTGCCCACACTAGATAGCATTTGGTGCTTATTAACTTTATTAAACAAATTTAAAGAATTTGAACATTATTCATTGGTACATTCACACTATTTATTATTAAAATAAATCAAAAGGGTAGAAACACTTAATGCGAGTGTTTATTACCCCTTAATGTGTTTAATAGTGACAAAATGTACACTACAGTGCATGCCAATTTCTTTGTCTGTTTTGTTGTTACTAAGAGCTCTTTTTTCTTTACACTACTAGTGCACATTGTATTACAATTAAAGTTAAATTACACAAATAGTGGCAAAATAGACTGAAAAAACTGGTAATAACCGAGATGCGTTTTAAAATGTTTGGTTGGTACCTATCTACCTACGCAGTGCATATCCGGAGATACCGCGTTGTGGAAGTGTGGCATTTTTGCTCAGTTAAATTTTAATTATGGTGAATCCATAAGGGGACATTCTTATTTTTTGGTAAGTCCTTTTTCTTTAAGCCTTAATACTCAATAAATACCAATATGTTAAAAGGATGTCCATACCCGACCTATATTATATATCAATAATTTACGGCAGTAGGTCCGGTACTTGTAACATTAATAATATAAATGGGGCAAAATTTACCAAGTGTACCAGGTGAAAAATTTTTTGTCACCGATTTTGTTTAAACTTTACTTATTTGTTGTTCTTATAACGAAGAATCAAAGCATAAATTTTTTTTGCTCTAGGATTGTTCATTCAAGAGTTATGGATTATTGAAATTTATCGATTTTTTACTTTTTGGTGAAATCGCTTTTTATTTAAAAATTCATAACTTCTGTTCATCTCTTTATTAAATATTTAAATTTAACCACCTTAAATGATTTTTTCCGTACTTTTCAATGGGCTATACCGTTTTTGCAAAAAAATAAAAATTGCAATTTTTTTTGAAATTTTGCAAAATTTTGCATTTTTTTAAACAATGTGTATTTTTTAATTTTTTTTAAAATAGCATAAAATCCAAGTTTATTATGTTACCTTTGAATAAAAAAAAATTTACAGTGGGCCCGACATGTAGAAGGGAAGTTTTTCATATTTGAATGCCGCACGGTCTAGCCATCGAATAGCTACTACACTGCCGTATGCGTTTATACCTAGTAGATGCGAGTAAACGAATACAAAATGATAATTTAAAATGTAAAATTATGTTTGAGTAGTCAATGATGTATTTTAAATATTTACACTGCCGCACGATATAGATTTTTAACTGTATTTTTTGCACAAATTGTTTAAGCATGGGTCTACATAGATTTCGCAAGGAGGATCGATGATATTAAATAAAAAATTTATTGTTATAACCATAACGGCTTCCCTATAAGCCTTTACGGTTATAACAATACATTTTTTATTTAATATCATCGACTCTCCTTGCGAAATCTATGTAGACCCATGCTTAAACAATTTGTGCAAAAAAATACAGTTTATATACAAAAGTGCTCTTTTAGTTCCACCCTTACTTCTTAAGAAGTCCCATAAGCCAACTGAATGGCTTGTGCGGGTTAGGGGTAAGAACGGACCGCGGGCTTAAAGTCCCCTCCGAAGGACTAATACACAATAAAAAAAACTATATCGTGCGGCAGTGTAAATATTTAAAATACATCATTGACTACTCAAACATAATTTTACATTTTAAATTATCATTTTGTATTCGTTTACTCGCATCTACTAGGTATAAACGCATACGGCAGTGTAGTAGCTATTCGATAGCTAGACCGTGCTGCATTCAAATATGAACAACTTCCCTTCTACATGTCGGGCCCACTCTAAATTTTTTTTTTATTCAAAGGTAACATAATAAACTTTGATTTTATGCTACTTTAAAAAAAATTAAAAAATACACACTGTTTCAAAAAATGTAAAATTTTGCAAAATTTCAAAAAAAAATTGCAATTTTTATTTTTTTGCAAAACGGTATAGCCCATTGAAAAGTACGGAAAAATTCATTTAAGGTGGTTAAATTGAAATATTTAATAAAGAGATGAACAGAAGTTATGAATTTTTAAATAAAAAGCGATTTCACCAAAAAGTAAAAAATCGATAAATTTCAATAATCCATAACTCTTGAATGAACAATCCTAGAGCAAAAAAAATTTATGCTATGATTCTTCGTTATACGAACAACAAATAAGTAAAGTTTAAACAAAATCGGTGACAACAATTTTTTCACCTGGTACACTTGGCAAATTTTGCCCCAAATACATACACACTTGATTTACTTTTTATTTTCAAGCGTAATGGTTGTATTAATATTATTATAGAAAATGTGTACACGTGTGGTAAATCCCCGACATACAGCCGCCTAACGCCTCTCTACCAATGGGATCACCCATTTTTTTTATAGAAAAATGGATAACTGATGAATTCTTAAGATAATTCATTGCTTACAAGTTGACAGCCAGTAAAACATTGCATTGATCTAAAACTTTTACGTTTTAAGGAACCATTTGGTTAAGCCCATACGACTCAAATATAAAATTATATTTTAAAAGGCACCGATTTTGATAATTGCCATAGATTTTTGTTCCAAATAAATGTTTCTCTTTATTTACCTTTTCGTTTTATCCACTACCACCAATAGGTTTTACTCAAATAATAGTGTTAATTTACACTAGAAGTTTGCACTAAAAGAGTAAAAGTACCTTTCTAAAATTAGAACTTTTCCAAAGTAGTGTTAATTTACACTGAACAAAAGTGGGATTTTACCCAGGAAGTGTAGAAGTACACGATTTTAGGTAAATTAACACTTTTTAATACAGTGTAAAATTACTTTATCCTCAGTGCTATAGTGTTAAATCATACTTGCCTACTTGGGGAAAATTACACTACAAATTAACTCTAATAATTAATAATATTAATAACAATTATTGTAGTGTTATAAAACAACACTATTTAGTGTGGACCTGTGTGAACTCTAATTAGTGTTGCTTAGAAAAAACTTCGTCCATTTAAGCAAAATAGCTATTTTAAGGCATGACACCGAATATGAGTACACATTTACATTTTTGTTTATTTAGATATAATTGAGTAATTAAATTACTGAATAATGCATGACGGACATACAATTAAAAAACTTGTACAACTTACC